CCGACCTGAACTCTCTAGCCGTCAAATGCATTGGGTACCCCAATCGTATCCAGGCACAAAGAGTCCTTACCACAGAAGAGGGCATCGTGGATATGTTCCTGCCCCTGCGCTCCCTCCTCTTGCTCCAAGGAAGCTCCTTCCGCCTCAGAGGATGTCGCTTCTATCTGCAGGGATTCTCCACACATCTGAAAAAGCAGTGTGGGGGGGAATTAATTAATTCATTAACATATGGGAGTATGTGTAGGATAGCCAGGAGAAACGAAGATTGTTCTAGTTCTTGGAGTGTTATGCACCACTAGGTGGCGAGCGAGACTTGTTTTTGAGGCAAGGGATGTTTCAGAGGTTCCTCCCTCTGCGTCACGGCCCTGGTATTCCTTGGAGGCCACCCATCCAAATACAAGCCAAGACCGATCCTGCTGAGCTTCCGAGATCTGACAAGATCCATCCAGGCTGGGCTATCCAAGTCAGGGAATAGCAAGGGAGACAGGTAAGAGAGGGAGTGGAATAGGCCAAGGAATAGATCCTGCCCCACACCCAGACTCTGCACCCTTCCATCAGCAGACCTGGTGAGTTACCTGGAGGGATCAGAAAGTCTCTAGTAGAAGAAGCTGCTAAGGAGGCCATGAAATCTCCCATTTGGATGATTAACACTTGGAGAGATGTCTGGCAGGTTAGAGGGAGTATTGCTTCTCACCTGCTCTGCCTGCCTCTTCTCCTCTGCCTGACTCAGGAGGAAACCTTCCGCCAGGGCCACCGCCTGGGAACTGGTCTCCGGCCCGCATCCTCTGACCCAGCACTGCATTTCCTGGGGCAGGATGGTCAGGAACTGCTCCAGGATCACCAGGTCCAGGATCTGCTTCTTGGTGTGCCTCTCTGGCTCCAGCCACTGGCTGCAAAGTCCATGGAGCTGGCTGCAAACCTCTCGGGGCCCATCGGCCTCAAGGTAGCGGAACTGTCGGAAGCGCTGGCCATGTACGTCTGAGGTCATGGTGTCCTGGGCCAGGGTCTCTGGCACAACTCTGCTCTTCCACCTCCTGCCACTTCTCTTGAGTCACCTCCATCTGGGAAAAGATGCCCGAATCTACTTGGCTGTGAAGAGAGGCTTCTCTCTGGGGGGGAAGGAGAGACACAGACAGTAGCATGTCAGAAGGAAAAAAGGAGAATGGAGATGCACCACCAAGCATCACAAACCTTCATATGCTCAGGGGACATGTGAGGATTGCCCTGGCGGAACAGAACAAGAATTCCTCTTGTGGTTTGTTGACTGGCTTTAATATCATTTTGCTATATTACAGATGAAGGTCTTTTTAAATACGCCATCTTTCTTTTGGGGGGAAAGTGTTTCTGTTCGGCTTCTTAGAGATGTTACAAGCTTAGCTTCTCATTCCTTAGTCTCCGAGGGGGCTACTTCTTAAGGTCAACCAGATCCCCCAAAATGACAAGAGGGACTGCTGGCGCCTTTACCACTGCACGCATCTCTTCTTTTCTTGTTTGCTTTGAAAAGGAAAATATAAATGGCCGGTAGATTATCGCTTCAACAATACATGTTGCTCAGTGCCAGAAGAGGATGGCCTATGTCAATGTATGGTTAATTATGACCTTCCGCAATCTGGCAAAACTATTAGGTGGAAATTGTAAATGAGAGTGAAGGATGAAACATAAGATAAGCCAGTGTTGGATCAGGCCAAAGGCCCATCCAGTCCAACACTCTGTGTCACACAGTGGCCAGAAATACCAGGTGCCATCAGGAGGCCCACCTCCTGATTTTTACGGCGGCTGCGGGACCCTGAAGAAGAGGGAACTTAGAACAAAGATTGATATCAGTATATGTTTTAACATGTGTACACCCTAATAAATATTTGTACTTTTATAATATACATTGTTAGTTTAGCCCTTTGGTTCGTAGTTTTATCTTGGGTTGAGTTTTTCCCCCCAGTTTCTACCAACATAGTGGCCTGGGGCAGGTAAACCTGTTCTATGGAGTCCAGGTCTACCAATATGGTGAACTGGGCTGGGTAGACCTGTTCTATGGAGGCCAGGTCTACCAATATAGTGGCATGGGGTAGGTAGAACTGTTCTCCAGAGGCCAGGACTATCAATATAGTGGAAAGGGGCAGGTAGACCTATTCTCTGGAGGCCAGGTCTATCAATATAGATCTCTGTAGTCTGGAGACAGGGCTGCGGTGGCTCAAGTGGTTAAGACACTGAACTGCAGACTGGAAGGTCGGTAGTGCAGCAGTTCGAGACCTGAGTGTGCCGCATGACGGAGTGAGCTCCTGTCTCTGGCCCCAGCTGCTGCCGTCCTAGCAGTTCGAAAGCAAAAAATTGGAAGTCGATAAATAGGCACCACTTTGTTGGGAAGGTAACAGCGTTCCGTGCGCCTCGGCGTTTAATCATCCCATCAACATGAATGAGTCGTCCCATTTGATCCCATCCAGTCCCAGCCACCAAAAGGTGAGTTTTGTATTCTTCCTGGCATCCCCCTTTGCAAGACCAAACCCACGCCTCTTAGGACTGTGCTCTTGTGTTTCACCCTGTTGTGCTGCCCGGGGGTCTGTACCTCTCTCGCCTGGGAAAAGATGCCGTTCCTCTCACCCAAACCCCAGTGCAGGAGGGAGAATTGGGCATTGCATTCCGGCTGCCTCCGCCAGTTGAGCTGTGGAGGGAAGGGGGTTGGGGAGATGGGGTTGGAACAGCCCCCTGTTCTCTCCCTGTGTGTCCACTTGGCAAAACACTGCTGCAGGTGGGGTACTCAAACTCACATCTGTGGCGCTCCCTGGTGTGTTTACATCGCTCATGCCACAGTCCTCACAGTGATGTACGCCCCCAAGGTGCCTTTTGTTCCTTCTGGCCCTGTCTCTCTGAGAGGCTGATTCCAGGGAGGGGGTTGGGGAGATGTGGCTGGAACAGCCCCCTGTTCTCTCCCTGTGTGTCCACTTGGAAAAACACTGCTGCGGGTGGGGTACTCGAACTCAAATCTGTGGCACTCCCTGGTGTGTTTACATGGCTCATGCCACAGTCCTCACAGTGATGTAGGTGCCTTTTGTTCCTCCTGGCCCTGTGTCTCTGGGAGGCTGATTCCAGGGGGTGTGGCCACATCAGCAGGCCCCACCCCTCTCTGTCAGACAGAGGGGAGTCACCTGGTGCTGTTTCCATGATCTTCCCTGGCATTCCTAACTTCTCTGCACCTCGGCCACAGAGTTTTTCCCCATTTCCCGCTCCTCTGCTGGCCAGGCCTGGGACACCAGCTGGCAGCCCTGGCCCCACACTGGGCCCACATCTGGGTCTCCGGATGGGGATGGGGTTGATTCCAGTGCAGGCAGGATTTCCCTCCCCCCATGCCCCCCCTTTAATCATCCAACCAAAAAAAGGCCAGCTTTTTATGTTTGTGTTTGCATGTTAGGATAACCAGCAATGGAACGACAGA